TTTTTTTTTTTTAATATTTACGAACATGTATTCTGTATGTAGTTCACTCCCTTTTTTCTGTGAGTTCTTTTACTTTTCTTGGTTATTCATGATGATGGTGTGTTTCCAATAATAATTAACTAGATCCCTTTCATGCACCTAGTTTAGAGTTCAAATACCTTTATTCACCATGGAAGCAAAAGATTCTTTCTTCAAAAGTCGTTCCATGGCTTCAGTTTATTTATGGAAAATTTTTCTTCTTATTTTCTTACAATTAAAAAACTAAGATAAGAATGCTCGTTAATAAGCATTATGTGTCATTTGATGATTGATTAAAGTGGCTGAATGGATTACTTAGAGAAATTGGTTGACACGAACTTGACCATAGATGAGATTAACACAATTACACATGATATTATATGAATTAGGTAATTCTTTAAAGGAGGTGATAACACGATTCATGGACTATCCTAAATATTATAAAATTGGAATTCAAATAATTCATTCCTTCAAAGACCAACTTACTAAACAACAAAGCGTAAGCTTTAGAGACGCTTTTCTTTTCTTTTTGTCCTTATTTATTTATTTTGTTTGTTAAGCAAGTGACTTTCTATTAGGGATCCATTTGGTCAGAAAAAAAAAAAATGTTGGAAAGTGAAAGTGCTAGAAAGTGAAGTGAAAGAAAGGAAAAAGAATATATATATATATATTTTCATGTATTTGATTAGCATGAAAATTTTGAAAGAAACTTTAAAAAAAATAATCATTCTATTATTTGAAAGGTAATAAAGTTGCTAGAAAATTTTGATAATTATCTAAAATATCCTTCTCTATATTGAAGAATATGCTGAATTTGAAAGACTTTGCATTTATCCACCTATTATGATAAAATAAATAAATACCAAATATTATTAATGTAGAAATAATGCATGGTTGACACATCACCATTTTTATTTCTTCAAATAGAGATGTTAAAATTTAGAAAGTAAAATAAAAGAAAAGAAAATGAGAAAAAATATACTTTCATGCATATATTTGGTTAGCATGAACTTGTAAGAATTTTTATGCATAAATTACTCTTAATTATATTAAATTAATTTAAATAAAAAAATATTATAATTAAATTACCCTTAATTATATTAAATCAAGTTTACCTTTATGGACGCTTTTTTTATTTAGGTCCTAGTTAGTGTTGTTGTTCAATTTGATATCCATATATGGGAAAGGATAAGAGACAATTATGGGCAAAAAGGTCAAGTGCGGGCAGTAGCCCACATTTTTACAGAAAAAAAAAATTCCCCATTAATTTTATAGGAAATCAAATATGTTCTATACAAGAAAATTTAGTGAGGTGGCAGAATATATTGACCAGGATTGACAGACTGTGCATTTGTCCAATATATTCAAGTCTCCCTCCTCCTCTCCCTCTCAAAAAAAAAAAAAATTGATTTAATGTCATCTACATAAGAGAGGAGTAAAAGCAAGGTTTTTATTGTAGCCAAATCCACATTCATAAAAAGACATCAAGCCAAAAATATAATAATTAGGGGTGACAATTCTTGCCCACAAACCACTAACCCAACGATAAATTAATGGGTTGAGTACCTGTTTTTATTAATCTGGGCTAAAAATGAATTGGGTATTATTATTTAGTTTAAATTTATGGGTTAAATTGAATTTAAAATAAGTACCCATTAGATTTCTTTTTAAAAACTAATAAATCATAAATACACATTTATCAAAAAAAAAAAAAAAATCATAAACACACTCACAAGCCCCACCTCTCCAGGCTACAGCCGTTAGACTCCCATGGAGTCTCTTGACGCCAAATTCTCCACTACTGACGACACACTGCTTGTCTAACCACTATTGCTCTCCGACTGGAATTCGACTACTCCAAATTGTAATTCGGCTATTGAATCTTACATCTCCCCATCATTCAAGCTTGCAAAGTGAGTCCCCTCCAATTTTATTTATTGAAATTTCCCAAAACATTGTCTCGATACATCAAATGCCCCACTTCCTTGTTTTTTTTTCCTTTTCTTCCTCTCTGTTAGCATTAGCTTTGTTTTTCTTGGATTGGATATTGATTACTTGAGTTATATTTTTTGACCAGTTGTGACTTGCCTACAACGTGTTTGATGAAATGCCCAAAAAAGCTATTTATTCATATAATCATTGTTTGTTTGTAACCTATTAATTGTTGGATTTTCATACTTTTTATTTTCTTTAGGTTCTTCATCAACTCATACAAAAATGTGTATGGCTTTGTTTTAAATCGTGAAATATTGACTTCTGTGCATGACATCTTCAGCTGGTTTAAGGCAATTTTTTATTTTTTATTTTCTGAAAGTATTTGTAATTTGCACTGTTTGTTTTCTATTTAATGTTGGCTAGTGAAGGCTTGGGAAGAAAGGTACATTTCATTGTTTTGTTAAGAAAAATTGTTGGTTTTGTTGTTATAATAAGGAAAAATGGTTATTCTAGTGCTCTCTGTGTTATTTGGTTGAGGAATTTATGGACTTTTGGGTTGTTTTGGGCCTTACAGTATTTGTAGTTTCAATGTAATTGTGGAAATTTCTTTTGACCGAAGTAATTGATCTTTAATCAGTCATTAGCGTCCAACTGTGTGTATGCCCATATGGCCATGTGTATGCATGGTGAATAAAAAAAAAACTGAGCTAATCTAGTAAAGGTTTAAATGATAGAATTTGTCCAAACAAAAATAATAGTTGATGTAAAAAAAGTACGGAAAAAAATGACATATCAGTTTGTTGAGATCATTGCCCTTTCGAAGTTGTTCGTTCCATGCCTTAGCGACGTGTCATCTAATCACGTGTCCCTCTTTTGACACTCTTCTTTCTCTCACACAAACTTCACAAAACAAAAGCAATTATCGTGCAAGAAATGTCTCTATTTTGCTTTTATTTTAAAAAGAAGTAAAACCAACTTTATTGAAGAATGAGTAACTGATTTACCCATCTTTAAAAAAAAAAGAAGAAAAACAAAACGAAAAAAATCCAATAATTATCATCATAAAGTACATGGGTTCTACAGGTTTAAAGAGATGTACATGCCCAATTGTGACTTCTTGTTCCGTGATCTTTGTCTGTGCAACTTCTAGATTATTTTCTTAAATAAATATAAGCAAAATCAAGAGTCAAGAGTGAAGACGCTTGCATTATTGATCTAATCAAACCCAACAACCATCCTTAGGTTCATTGGACTTACTAGAAAGTATAGATAAAAATACAGGGAACGTAAATTATATTTTAATTCATAAAATCTCAAGTGGTTATGTCTGATGCCAACGAAAGATGATTTTAATCATTAATTATATTTCAACTTATTTATAATTTGTACCGAATTTGAACTAAGTTTGAGGCGAACATAAATAATTTAATTTTTTTATATATAGATTCAATAGACAAATCAAAGTATAGGAATTTGAGTCAACGAGTTCAACTCGTTCAAATAGTGCTGGAACCAAGTTTTATCCGACTCTAGCTCGTACCCTACCGGCAGGAAGTAAGTATTCCCCCGTAGAAAATTCTCAACACCTCCACGTTCAATCCAGAGATTTCATTGTTAAATTACTCGAAAATGCTCGTTCTTCTCAGAACACATGACTTCCGACGACGAATAAGCACAGGAACAGATTTATTAGTGGACTATGGTGGGTTGAAGTCCAGAGTTAAAAAAAAAATATATCATTTTCATACAAGGCTGTCAGCATCAATCCACTAAATTACTAATTATTAGCTCAATTTCTCAAAACCTTTAAGGTTTAATCCCCAATAATCATGGAAAGAAAAAAATTTAAAAAATTTTTTATTTTTATTTTGATCGGAACAGAAAAGGGATTATGCAAGGGCGGAGAGACAGCTGGGCTAGAGTGAGCAAGTGCCCCCCAAAAAAAAAAATTTATTAACAGGATATATGTGTTATATATTTATATAATATATTATGTGTGATATAATATATTATGCGTAAAAAATTGAGTCCAATATTATTTACCAAAATTTATTCAAATCTACTCAAACCTATTACAAAAATTATTGACCCAATATTAAAAAAATAAAATTTTTGATCAAATATTAAAAAACAAAATTTTTTGATCATATAATATATTAAAAAATATTTATATTTTATTAGTCGTTTGAATTTTTAGTTTATCCAATATAAACGTTGGCTCCACCCTTAATTAAGCAGCGAAGAAGGAGACCCTCCTAATAACGTAAGACTCCACTGTTTCTCCTTCTTCCTCAAAACCCTAATTCCACCCATTGAACCCAACAAAAATTTTTGGAAAATGGCTTCACAAATTCAGGGAAACGAAAAAACGATTCTGCCGTACGTGAAACAATCGCGGGCTCACTCGGAGGGATAGTCGAGGCCTGTTGTTTACAGCCTGTTGATGTCATCAAGACTAGGCTTCAACTCGACCGGTCCGGTTCATACAAGGGAATTATCCACTGCGGCGCGACGGTGATTCGTACTGAAGGTGTGAGGGCACTTTGGAAGGGTTTAACTCCTTTTGCAACTCATTTGACCTTGAAGTATGCGCTTCGGATGGGGTCCAATGCAGTGCTTCAATCAGCGTTCAAGGATCCGAAGACGGGGAACGTGAGTCCTCATGGGAGGGTTCTTGCTGGGTTCGGTGCTGGCGTTATTGAAGCTCTAGTCATTGTCACACCATTTGAGGTGAGTGGATTCACTTGTACTTAACTTTGATGGTTGATATCTGTTTTTGATTTGAAGTTGATGATTTNTGGCTAATAACAACTGTTACAGTGTCATATATGAGATAAAAAATACTTAACTGATCGAAAAAATAAAATCCAATTGATGACGATTGTTATTCTCACACAACAAAGTGATTTATCACAACATCATCACGATGCCAACCAAATCACCTGTGCTTGAACACATTTTGTTAAGCGTACCTGATTGTGCTATTTAACACATTTAGCTCATGGTTCATGTCATGATTGACACAACTGTGATCACTCCAAATCATCAATTCGCCCACATTCCACATGTAACTTGACAAATGAAAAGTAAATTGTAAGTTGAAAACCATTCTAGCCCATATTCGAGAAAAGTTAAGAAAATCACATTCCATAACAGTTGATGTCTCTCTTAGTTCAACAAGTGTAGGTAGTCAAACATAAAGATAATCCCCCTCCCACGCACCCCCTAAAATAATTCAAAATCAAAAATTAATTCAAAATCTTAGCCAATATAATCTGTCACCTCAATAATTTATTTAAAATTTTTCAATCAATATACACAATATGCACATGTTAATTTAATGATTTATACATGTTTCTATGGCAAATCAACCATGAACAATTGAAACCCCCATCAAAGAATTCTACAACAAAAGATACAANGATTTATACATGTTTCTATGGCAAATCAACCATGAACAATTGAAACCCCCATCAAAGAATTCTACAACAAAAGATACAATTGATGAGAACAAAATTGATTTGATGTCATCTACATAAGAGAGGAGTAAAAGCAAGGTTTTTATTGTAGCCAAATCCACATTCATAAAAAGACATCAAGCAAAAAATATAATAATATATACATTCCAAACAAAAATAATAGTTAAAAAAAGTACGTAAAAAAATGATNATGAGAACAAAATTGATTTGATGTCATCTACATAAGAGAGGAGTAAAAGCAAGGTTTTTATTGTAGCCAAATCCACATTCATAAAAAGACATCAAGCAAAAAATATAATAATATATACATTCCAAACAAAAATAATAGTTGATGTAAAAAAAGTACGTAAAAAAATGACATATCATATTGTTGAGATCATTGCCCTTCGAAGTTGTTCATTCCATGCCTTAGCGACTTGTCATCTAATCACGTGTCCCTCTTTTGACACTCTCCTTTCTCTCTCACAAACTTAACAAAACAAAGCAATTATCTTGCACGAAATATCTCTATTTTTCTTTTATTATAACAAAACAAAGCAATTATCAATGGCTAATTTTTTTTTTAATTTTATTTTATCAAGTTTAATATATTAAAATAATTTTATATGAAACCGTCTATCCAAACAGTTTTTATTGTTTTCTATTTTGTAAAATTATTTTTGAAATCATCNTTTTGACACTCTCCTTTCTCTCTCACAAACTTAACAAAACAAAGCAATTATCTTGCAAGAAATATCTCTATTTTTCTTTTATTATAACAAAACAAAGCAATTATCAATGGCTAATTTTGTTTTAATTTTATTTTATAAAATTTAATATATTAAAATAATTTTATATGAAACCGTCTATCCAAATAGTTTTTACTATTTTCTATTTTGTAAAATTATTTTTAAAATCATTNTATTAAAATAATTTTATATGAAACCGTCTATCCAAACAGTTTTTATTGTTTTCTATTTTGTAAAATTATTTTTGAAATCATCTAATCAAACAAGTTTTTTGTCTCAGAAACACTTTTTTAAAATTATTCTAAAAAATTATTTTTGCATACTATTTTTAGAGACACAAACCAACCCGGCCCAATAATTATCATCATAAAGTACATGGGTTCTAAAAATTTAAAGAGATGTACCGCTCTTGTTCCGTGTACTTGTCCAAAAGCACGGAGCTACACATGCCCAATGGTGACTTCTTGTTCGGTGATCTTTGTCTGTGCAACTTCTAGATTATTTTCTTAAACAAATATAAGCAAGACTCAAGAGTCAAGACACTTGCATTGTTGATCTCATCAAACCCAACAACTATCCTTAGGTTCATTGGACTTGGTAGAAAGCATAGATAAAAACACAGTGAACGTAGATGATATTTTAATTCATAAAATCTCAAGTGGTTATGTCCCATGCCAGTGAGAGAAAGATGGTTTTGGAAGTTTTGTCACCAAATTATACCATGGTCAAGGAAATGATCTTTGCAACTTCAACGTAACAAAATTAGATGTTAATATATGCAATAAAGTTGTAGGTCATGTTCTTAAAAGTGAAGAAATTTGCTTAAACTTAGAGAACTGTTCAGGTCATACATTATCCATAGGATAGGAAACGGGAACTCTACTAGCCTGTGGCTGGATAACTGACATCCCATTGGTCTACTCCTTCGAAGAAGCAACCCAATGATCTTGCTGGAATCCAGAATTCCCAAGAACATGAAGGTTAGCAAAATTATTTTGAACAACCAATGGAATTGGACAATTGATACTTCCATTCACGTGCAGGAAATCATCAATGCAATGCCAAGCTACCTTCTTAACCATGATACTGAGGAATCAATAAAGTGGACTTTAATTGCGGGAGGTAAGTTTTCTGCTAAATTTGCTTGGGAACATATTAGGAGTGAAGGTCCAATCGTGCAATGGTATAAACTTGTTTGGTATGGTAAAGCTATCCCAAGAATTGTCTTCATCCTCTGGCTTGCTATTAGATGTAAGCTGAGCACCAAGGACAGAATTCAAATATTTGCAACTCAGATCGACCCACAATGTGTTCTATGTAGGAGAGCTGAAGAAACTCACAACCATTTATTTTTTGAATGTAATTTCTCTAACAGGGTTTGGAATGGTGTTATGCTCCTGTGCAACCAGCAGTGGCAACAGAGACAATGGACTGATTCAATTTCATGGGCTGCTCAACGGTGGAGAGGAAAATCAATGAAGACAACTATTTTAAAGCTCTTTCTTTCAATTACTGTCTATTCGTTGTGGACTGAGAGGAATGAGAGAATTTTCAAAAAACAGAGCAAATACCCAAATTCTCTTCTTCAATCCATCAAGTAAACCATTAGAGAAAGACTCACATCTTTAAAATTCAAGAGAACTCAACAGAATGCAATTTTGCTACAACAATGGAACCTTCCTGAAGCTTGTTTGATCTGATTTGTCTTTGGCTTCCCATTGGTTACTATGTTTGCTACCCACTGTTACAGGTTGTTGTGTCTGCTTCCCTCTGTTGTAGTGTTGTTGTGCCTGCTACCCACTGTTGCAGTGTTCCTGTGCATCTATGTGGTTCTCTGTTTTTCTCGGTTGTTGGTCATTGCACTGGGAGGCTTCTTGAATTTGCAAGCACTAGCATGTTATCTTTAATGGGTAGTTAGTCCAACTTTTGTGCCGCTTTGTTCCTTTGTGGCACTTTTCTGTTTTCCTTTGTGGCAGCCGCTGCTGTACTTGCTGGAAGCTACAGGCAAATTTTCTTTTGGAGATGATGTATTGTTCTGTAGCAGTCCCCTGTTCCAGCCGCTTGCTTGAATGCTACAGGTATGTTGTGGGTGAAGATACTGCATAGTTGGAACTCCCTGTGTACTGCCTCTTTGATTGGTTTCATACTTTATTTTGTATACCATTGTATTCTTTTGCCAACAAGTTGGAGATGCTCTTATTCAGGACATCTCTTATGTACTTGTATTTTGAGGCCTTAGCTTTTAAGTTTGATGTTTGTCTTTGAATCATATATGACTTTATTGTACATTTGTGGATGATTCTCCTTATTTCTGTTAATATAATTTATCTTCCGTAAAAAAAAGGCTGTAGGTCATGTAGGAAAGATTTAAAGGGGTTACCCTTGTCCCAAAAAATGATATCATCTAATAGAAGTCAAAAGAGACCAATCGAGAGAAGTCAGCATGCCATGGTTTTAAGTGAGTTGAGTGTGTGTTTGAGACTCTAGTGTGTCTGACAGAGAAGAGACAGAAGAGAGATGAGACTCTTGAAAATGGAATGAAATAGTTAATTGTTTAATATAAGAGCAATGTTATAGGGATCTTATTTGAGAATCTAATGGTATGATTTCAATGCAATTATTAGATTAGTTGTGAGTTTCAATGTTAAATAAAACCTACAATTAATCCAATAGTTATATATCATTAAATCTTCAAATAAGATCTTCAAATTATGTTCAAATAATATTTTTCTTAATATAATCATCAACTATCAATTTGCATAAAAAGAATGTCAAGGCAGTGTTGGCAAAGGCTACTGAACTTAACACGATGTAGACACTAATGTCATCGAAAGTAGAAAGTTGCTGGCGATTTGATTGAAGATGGGTTTAGTGTATATTTTATCCGAGGAACAAATTATCAGCACAGTAATTCATTACAAGAAGAAAATCCATACAGAAATCTTTAATAAGAATGACACGGTCAACACCATTCTTTCTTTCTAAAACTAAGAACTATAAAAAAAAATAAAAAAATCATGATATGTATTTATACTAGAGAGGTAACCCATGTCTGAAAATACAGTACAACGTAAGTGAAAAGTGATGGATTTGAGATGGAAGAAAAATTCAATGTAAATAGTTTTAAGAGTGATGTTGGTGACTGTTTGATAAGTCTATTTAAAATTGTCGGATAAACTTATTAAAGTTTGTCATATTTTATATTAAAGATGTTAAAAAAAAAAAAACAATAGTAGCCCATCATTCGTTTGATAATTTCTATTAACAATTTTGTTTACAGAAAGTCATTTTTATTTATTTATTTTGTTAAACAGTAAGGAATGATCGGAACAAAATTGACAAAATCTGCTTAATTCGAATGCAATAAATTGAAACAGCCAAAACAAAACCATGATGGATAAATTCAAGTTCAATAACGATAATAATAAATTGTTTAAATTAACCACCAAACACTAAGAATAGGCATAGCTGTAATTTCTTACTTTTAAACTATTCAATTTAATTTAGAAGAAAAATAACAATAATTTCATTTGGGGGAAAATAATAG